TAAGATTTAACCCTGACGACAAAACACAGCGATTTTTCACTTTTACTTTTTAAAAATAAGGATTTTTTTCTCCTCTGTATATAATTGTATATCGTATATATTAAAATTCTTTTTTGTGCCATTGATATAAATTACTAATATCAACAATTTTCAGTTACTGAACAAAGGCAACGCATTTCGACACGCTGTACCGCGAAGAAAGGAAGCAAAAAGGAAGCATGAGATTCTTCCATAAGGCTTACTGTTTCGTTCTCTCGAGGAAGGCTCTCTTACGGGCTCTCGCATGGCAGTAAAGAGATTTTAACTATTCATTGTTTCAGCATAATAATAGGAGCGAAATGGCCGCACAGAGAAGAGTCCAAAGAGAAGGCGAGCTCACGATGGAACTCACGGGTAAAGGTTCCTAAGCGAGTTAATATCTCTAATTATGACCGGTTATAAAATTACACCCTTCGCACCCGGGTAGGAGTGACTGAACGCGTTCTGGGCAGATCGTAAATTTTCTCTAAAAACGTAGAGGGGATCAAGCACTGCCACCGCTGGAATTTCAAGTACATTTTGCGCATCTCGATCAGCTTTTAAATCTTCAGAATGGTACTTGGCGTAAATCAATTCGCGAATTTTTTTCTCAATTTCTGTTTGAAATCGTGAATCCTTCAAGACCATTACAAATATAAGAGGTAATAAACATTGCAATAAACCATCATCTCTGCGCAACATAACACTTTCCTTCAAATCGTTCAATGATCGAATTGATCGAAATTTATTATCACTAGCAGAAATTTATATTTAGTGAAATCTAGAAAATTAATCTTTCCTTGAATTAAATTTAAAACCAAGTTTTAAGTATATTTCATTACTTTCTAATATTAAATCTCGTTTTATTAAATCAAACACCTATAACTTATTCTTTCGCTTAATAAATTGAAATTATAAACGAATTGCTTTCACACAATAATATCTTTTTCAACATTGACATTTTCGTTTGCAGATTATTGCGAAAGCATGAAGAATAAATAAAAATATTGTATTTGATTTCATTTGATATTTGATATTTTCGCAGTCACGATTAGGACGAATCGGACAAGCCGCGAAGCGGTTTAATCTTAATTAAATCTCCCACGATTATCTAATGTTGCGTGTACGCCGAGTATTCTGAATCTTCTTAGAAAATTGCATCTTATTGCAATCTATTCTTCGCTGCAATCCTGCTGAGCCACGCGAGCGAATATCGAAGCGGTAGTAGTAGCCCTGATAAAGCTCCGCGTCGACTGTATCGTATAATATAAATCCTGTTATCGAAAGCCGTGAAAACAAATCACACGTTGCACTTGCAACTTAAAACGTAACGCGTTTCGTGCAAGATAAATTGAATTCCCGCCTTTACGCGATTATCCTTTGACTCCTCGTTCACGTTCTTATAATTAATTAATATCTACCGTCATCAAGTTTCTAATAAAATTATTTTTGCGATTCAAAAGATCTCGAAGTACATTTACTTTTAATACAAAAATGTACATGCGTTATTGATTGCGAAAATAAAATAAATATAAAATGTCATCCAAAAAAGTGAAATCTCAAAGAAAAGATTGAAAATTCTGTCACTATTTTTCACTCTGTTGGAGGTAGATTTAACTCCAAAGAATTTAGAGAATTATTATTACTAATATTTTAGCAGTAATAATTATAATCTTAGTAACATGTAATTATAATTGCAAATATTAAAAATTTTTCCCTCAGTAGTAAAGATCAGTGTAGAAATTCATAGGATAGCGGAAAAAAAAACAAGCAATAACAAAGAGCGCAGTCATTCAATATCGCTTATGGACTGGTCCAGGTCAAACTGGAAATCAATACAGCTCGTAAGGTAATCATGTGATTCATTAAGGATTACCTTATGAGCTGTAAATAACATTAAGGAATCATAAAATCGCGATCGTTAAATAAATGTTCACAGCACGTTCGCGAGCGGCGAACAGTTATTCCGTAAACTGCGTTTGCATGAGGTTCCCTCTTTTTAACAGCAGCCTCGACACGTACCATTCGCATCAAGGTTGGAAGAGGATTCTACATGAACCGATGCCAAGAACATTTTCCACCCGCATCCTGACCCGGTGCATGCGTATGCATTCACGACACATTGTCGCACGTCGAAGAGGAATCCGCCATTGGCTCGCGGTAAGTTATTCGCTTTCGGCGATCGCCTAAGAATACTTGATTTCTCCTATTTCAACCATTTTCAATTTCGAAAAGATATACGAGAAAAGCTTAATTTCGTAATTTAATAAAATCTGAAATACTTTTTCAAAAACAACTTAAATCTCAAAGATTAATTCCATCAAAAAATGTCGCCTCCAAATTTTCGACAAAAGATTCATTATTATATAATATATTTGGAAATATCCTACGGAAAAGTAGATACACAAGAAAAAAATATTATATTAATAGTATCAACCAATAGCAGTTTAACTAAAAATAATTGCGTTTATTCAATAATAATGTTAATATTATTAATGAAACAAATAAGATTTTATTAAACATAACGTATTTGTTTAATATTGTCATTGATTTAACAAGATTATTTTTAATTAGACTACTGTCGGCTAAATATTGTTAATACATCATTTTTTCCATGTATGAGCTAAAAAAGTAATCAACACTTTGCTCAGTAAAACTTGATCGTAGATTAATTAGCTCGTTATTAATATGGCGTGCAATAAGTTCAATGAGTCGTGAAGGAGCCTGTTCTTTCTTGATTGCTTTCTCTTTAATAACCACCGAATATCGCGTTCGGAAAGCTGTAACGAGGCGTCGTGAAAGATTCCAAGTAATCATTTGTCATTATTAAAAGTCACAGTCCATTAATTTCAACTTGTGAAACCCGCGACGCGATAGTTTCGATATTTTTTTTAACGCCCTGGCGTGTCGATAAGCATATGTTGACGATGATCTAAGACGAAATGCAATCATCGTGGAAAAAAAAGCTCGGCCGCCGAAAGATCGACATGCCGATCGCGTCAACATTCATTTACCACTCATCGCATTTGACTGCCAATAGAAAGTGCGGTCGCGCGACTAATTTGCACTCACAAAGGAGATCTCGTGAAGATTCATCGATCGAGACACGTGCACGCGCTTCCGCCTTTCTAAGTGCATGCAAATTGATCGATTTGATCGAGACGACGCGGCCTGACAAAATGAGCGCCGTGCATTTCTAAACACCATGGGAAACTGACCCGCGTCTATTATCAAACGTATTTAATTGCTGTGCACGTCGAAGACGCTTCTACGAATCGTAGAAATAGCATTTGGAAAGCTAACGAGTTTCGTGTAGAATTAATAAAGTCTGATGATCCGAGTATAAAATCAATTGATTCATATTTCATTTAGATAGCGAAATTCAAATACATAGATGCAGTTTTCAACAAATCTACTCAAATATTAATTAATTTTGTTTCACCGACGTTTGATGAAAAACGCGTTATATACGTATATTATCGTGTAAGTATAATAATTACAAATATGAGTAATCAAAAAATTTTTTACATAGACTTTAACAAGCTCATTTTTTCGAAAATATAGGTAAATTCGGAATCAAATTTTAGAATCTATGGGATTTATCGAAAATTCTGTAGGGCGTTTTGCCACGAAGCGAATAGAGGATGCACAAGCGTACTTTCACAGAAGCAACCGAGTGCAAAGGTCGTTCTTCATCGGCAAAGCTGAGACGAGCAACAAAGTTCAGGCATTCACCGTCATTGCAATGATCGCCGAAGAGTGCATCTCGTGCGAGAATGAAAGGGAGAAGAACTGAGAGAAAAAGAGAAATAAGGATGCAGTGACGGTGAAATGTCTTGTAGATGCTCCTTTCACCCTCCCGCATTATTATATTTTTATACAGATATAATTTTTCCTATCATAAAATATTGTTGTGAAGAAGATATAATTGGTCGTGAGAAACCAATTACTATTATTTTACTAATGCGAGAATGATAGGAAAGAAAACACATTATAATTTTTCTATACAAGCACAATAGTATTCCGTTATTATAATATTTTTACTTCACTATTC